ATCTTTAATTCGGCGCGCGCTGCGCGGGATCTGCTAGAAAAGCGCGGCGCAACGTATTCGGACAGGCCGCGCTTTGTGCTGTTCAATGAATTGTGAGCACTGGGCATCGGCGGCTTCATTGCAACTAACTGTAGAATCTCAGAATTGAGAGCTTCAAACCCAACATGGCTCTGCTGTCCTATGGCGATGAATGGCGGAAACATCGGAAGTGGTTCCAGATGGCGCTTTCCAGCAGAGTCTCCCTCGACAGTTATTGTCCAATGCAGCGGTGAGAAGTGGTTATATTGCTCTCAAATATGCTTCAAACACCTCATCATTTCACATCGCACATCAAGCAGTAGGTCTGTCCCTCGCACAGACAGAAACAGCTCCTTATTCTCGAACAGGTACGCAGCCGGAGTGTTCATGGAAATCAGCTACGGCCACACCGTCACCTCAGTGGATGACAAGTTCATCCGCATGGCAGATGAAGCTGGGGCTGAGATCCTCGAAAATTGGCGGTGCAGGCTCCGCTCTTGTGGACTTCTTTCCCATGCGTAAGCACAATCTTCTTCATGTTGTATCTCAAGCCTGCTGACTATCGTGCCCGTAATCGGGACCATAGTCAAGTATATGCCAACATGGTTACCGGGCCGGGGAGCTTCAAGCGCAGAGCACTCGAGCTCGGGCAGTTCACGAGGGATACGATGAGCCTACCTTACGAGAATGTCAAGGCTGAGATGGTGCTGCGCAATCATAATATCCCATTGAACGCCACTTACATGTCTGCAGGCGTCCGGATCGGCCAGACCCTCGTATGTACGCACACGACTTCAGGAGGCTTCCCACCCTGCTTGTAGGGCAGAGGATTAGGATCGAGTTAGAGCAGGTGCCGCTGTGATATATCAAGGTATGAATTACTATTGCCCTGACCGTCGCTAAGTACTCATAACCCTAATGGTCCTTCCAGCCGGAATCGATACGGTTGGTCGCATATACTGTCAAATTCGTAGTGCTTATCAAAAATGTCTTCAGACTGCTACTCTCCTGACATCATTTGTTCTTGCCATGGTGCTTTACCCCGAGGTGTACCGAAAGGCTCAGACAGAGATGGACGCGGTGGTAAGGCAATCAAGGCTTCCGAACCCGGATGACAGACCTATGTTGCCATATCTGGAATGCGTTCTGAAGGAGGTGCTTCGGTACGTTCTTATCTGACTCTATCCAACATCCTGTCGCTACAGATGGTGCTGTCCCGCACCGCTTGGTGAGTGTGGCACATTCACCGAAGATAGCACAATACCCTCATGCTTTTTGCTCGCTGAGGTGTACCACATTATGTCTCCCAAGACGACCAATACCGCGACCACTATATCCCGGGAGCACAATGATAATCCCCAATATCTGGTAGGGTCTTCAGCATTGCGGGCTGATGAATGTCTGAATCAAATCCGTAGGGCCATGATGCAAGATGCAGACGTGTATTCAGACCCAGAAGCCTTCAATCCTGATAGTTTCCGCGACATTACCGATGACACAGGAGACGCACTCGATCCGCATACAATTGTTTTCGGGTTCGGAAGAAGGTAACGTGTATAGCTATAGTACTAAACACTTCATTCGAGTTCATCTCTCCGTTTGCAGAATCTGTCCTGGCTGTTTGCTGGCAGACTCAAATGCGTGGCTGGTGGCAGCAAATCTTGTGGCAACCATGGATATACGACGAGAATGTGATTCATCAGGACAAAAAATCATTCCAGTACCAGTGTTTACCTCGGGGACTGTTAGGTAGGACTCCCCGGGATGCAGTATGTTTTATGTGCTCACTTGGCGTACAGACACCCTCACCCATTCCCTTGCAAGATCCATCCGCACTCGAATAAAGCAGTGCATATTATCGGAGAGTCAAACGATGAAGTGGAAGCTTGACAATATCATGTTTCAATGTGTTTCACTATCGAGTGATCCCATGCCTGACGTAGTAGCGTCCATAAAATTCTGACGCTATATACCAATGCTGTTGCGCTTGACCTGCTGCAGCTGAATGGCACTGTTTGTTGGTTCTTGGAGTTCTCGTTATCACTGTGTCGTTATTACGCCTCAATTCTTATAACTATAGCTCTAAAGCCTGAGCTTGAGCTTCAAAGTTGCAACGTTGAACGTTGAATGTTGACGGTGACGTTGAAGCATCACTAGCACTCTTACTAGGCAGTGCGGTGACTCTTCAAGAAGCTGCACGCGCACGCGTCACGTCGCATTTCTCACATCAAGCTCGTGCAGACTGTACAAGCCAGAGTGAGAGACAGTGGAATTGGAAACGAACACGAGCACAGCACAGTGTTCACACAGCGTCCACAAGCGAACGAGCGAGCGATAGACAGAGACAGACAAGCAGGTGTCCATGCGTGTTACGTGTTACGTGTGATAAGGTGAGTCGATAAATGAACAGTGCGTGCGTACGTACATAGATGCAGATGCGAAAAAATAGTACCAACCACCAGCAACTACCTAGCTGTGCGCCGGCATACATACACAGCCGGCTGAGCCAGATACCCTCTCCTGCACATCAGCATGGATCATACGTACACAAAAGCAGCAATAAGGCACTGACGACGAGCATCGCGACCCTCTCCGTCCCATCCTCATCCTCATACTCGCCCACCCACCCAGCCCGGTCTCTAAGCACCACCATCATCCAATCCTATCCTATTCCAACGACATAAGCATATTATAGC